TTTTTAAAAAGCAGTGGAAAGTTTTTATCTATAACATTATCAAAGCTACAGAAACCATTTTAAAAAGTGCATAGAAGGAAAATGGAAGGAAACACATAAAAATGGTAAGTGGCCATTTTTGATGGACACATTCATGTGTGATATTTTTTCTTCTAGTTTCCAAAATTTCTGTAGTGAGTTATTACTGTATGCACACAAGTTGAATAGCCTTATTTTTGTGTTTTATGTGTTTTTCTGCCTTCTAATTCTTTACTTGAAAGCAAACCTTTGTAAGAAAAGAGAATTTCAAGGAAATTGAAAAAGGAACTTAGCATCAAAGGTAATTTTTTTCCCTAACATTATTGGAGTGATTCACTTTATTTAATTGCTGATATTAGTAAGAAGTGTTGTGGATTTGCTTTTCTGATATTTCCTGTCTGAGAATAAGAGAACTGTTGTACTCATACCCATTTGTAAATTCCTTTTTATTGACTCAGGGTTTTGCAAAGGCTTTATCAAGTTTTCTCAAACAGTCCTGTGAGAGTGTAGTAAGTTTCACCAACTCTTGGATATACACACACTCTATATGAATGCAAAGGAGGCTTGATAACAATTCAACATACTAGCCTATTGACCTATATAGTTTTCCACTCAATACTTCCGGTATACTGCAAACCTTACTTGAGTTTTCAGCTAGGATGTTCTGTGCTGACTACCTCAGAGAAAAATCAATGTAACAAAATTCACACATCAATTCTTGGTTTGGTTTTGTGACTTGGCTTATGACATTAGAAAGCCTAGGCCTAGAGGAAACCCAGACAGAGGTGATGAGGAAGAAGAAAGTTTCACCAGCCCTCCCCTAACCAGTCCCCCATATTCTAAAGTGGGGAAGGTGCTGTTCAAAAGAACAAAGGCAATGCAGCTTTCCTAGACAATGAAGCTCTGGACCCCAACATCTCAGAGAGGTTTACCTGAGCATAGAAAAACATGCCTTACTTTTTGGGTAAAAGGAGGGAAAGCAGTGAAAAGATATGATTAGTCTTCAAGTGTACTCTTCTGCCACCTCCAAGCTGTGGCAAATTTAATTCTAAGACTTTTATTTGCTTCTTTTTATACATTTTTTTTTAAAGGACTGAAGTTTTTTTTTTTTTTTTTTTTTTTTGTTTGTATTTATACAAGCACTGGGTACAGTCAGAAGCGCGGGAGGGTGAGAGAATTCACCAGAGCCAGAGCGGGGAGCAGAGCAGGCAGAAGGACCGAAGTACACTGCTGAGGGGAGCAGCGGGCGGCAGGAGAGGCCTGCGCGCCATGTGGGACCCTCCTCTGGTGGCCGGGGAGCAGCCGGGGATCGAACCGGCGCTGCAGAGGCTGCGGGCACCTTCGCAACCCAGCGCTCAACCGCTGCGCCACCGGGGAGGCCCTTATACATTTTTTTTTCTGTAGTAAGATTCCCTATCTGCCCACTCACAATTTCCCCTAATTCTTTAAACATAGTTCTTAACTATGTCAAACTATCTGAAAGTTAGTTTCTGTGAACTGCTTCCCCCCCCCCCCTTTTTCACCCTTTGGTTGAATTTTCATTACTACTTTTAAGAAAGTGGGACTCCCTGGTGAGAATGGTGTCAGAATTGGGTAAGCCATGACACTAAAGGATAATAGGATTCTAATTCCAAAGCTATCACTTGAAGTGGGGCAGGGCATTTTCTTATGAGAAATGGTGCATAATGTGTGATCGTTTCTAACCTGCAAACTAGAATTACCATTGCAAAACCCCTATGAAAAATGTAAAGATAGCATCTCTATACTTCTTGGTCAGTATCAAGCAAGCAATAAGATTTTCCCACTCAATAAAGAATGAAACTGGAGGAGAATTTATCTGAGTATTTAACTTCCTGGCTTCCATCAAATAGAACAGACAATCTTCTCCAATGATTGCTTTTTCTAAACAAAGAACAGCTTCTTTGCATTTCCTAATTTGGAGGTGATATGTACTTAAAGAAAAATCAACCAAAACAGGCATAAAAAAAGAAAGTACTACCCAGAGAAATTGCCATTAATATTTTGTTCAATATCCTTCTAGATGCTGCTCTATGCAAATGTTTACACATATAGCTTCATTTGAATGGGATAATATACATGTTTTTATCTCATTATCTGGTAAAGGTCATTATGAACATATATAGGTACATATCATCTTTTTTATTGACTGTATTTCTGTAGCACAGGTGTACCAAAATTTATTAAATCAGTGATTTATGAAGGAGAGATTTATTTCTAGATCCTATAAACATTCTTTCTGTTGTCTGCATGTGTACCTATGAGTGCAGGTGTATGTACGTGTCAAATAATGTTCCTTGCAGCAATACATTTCTATAACATTATTTTGGGGGCTAAAGCATATTCAAATTTTTAATAATTAATAAGCTATTTTTCCACCAGGAAAGTGATATTCCTTATATTAACAAGTCCATGTCTCTCTATCTTTAGTCATACTGGGTATGCACAATCTTTTTAAACTTAACAATGTGTCAGGCAAAAAATGACATCTAAATTTTGTTGAGTTATTTGGTAGTGAGTTCTAACACTGTGTTGGGTTGGATGGGTATCTTTTCATGTGCTCCTTTCCAGCTGTAAATGGGCAGTGTGTGTATTATATGGGGGCCCAGGGTGTAAATAAGATGGTCTTGCTTCCACACTTACTACATTAACTCAGTGTGCCCTTGGTTAAGCCCTTAAACTTTCTGTGTCTCAGCTTCTTCAAAAGCAAATGAAGAATTTGGAATGAAATGTTCCCGAACTTTCTTCTAGTTATGAGGAAAAGGCAACAGGGAATTGCTGTGTGCATATGTGTAGCAGACACTGAGTAGAGTAACGCAGTGCTATTTCTAGCTCTTTCTCCTTTGCCTACTTTTACTCTAGAAAAGGCTGGAAACCTTCACTATCCCCTTTCTCAGCCTTCTTTGGAGCTAAGAGGTCATCATTTTACCATATCCTAACTAATGAGACATGAAAAGAAGTCTATTAGGGTGTTTCTAGAAAATCTTTTGCTTCCCTGATAAAGAAACAGACACAAGAGAGAACAAGCTTACTGGTGAGCTGTGCCTCCCTTACCCTCTGCCTGCAATGCAGACTTGCTGCCTGGACCTATACGGCTGTGTAGTGGCTTTCTACTTAAGCAGGATCTGTTTTCCAGAATCTTGCATGGTTTCAGGTTAGCACTGACCATGAAAAAAATGTTGCATGAGGTCTGGAAGCAGTGGCTGTGGCTTTTACGCTTCGAAGGACAAGGCTGCGCTCCAAGGACAAGGCATGGCGGTAACTCTAGCACAGTGTAGCTGATCCCTAGCGCCTCTTGCTGGTGTGAGGCCACATGCAGATTCACAGCTTCTCTAGCTCCCACCAGATACCCTCCTTCCATTACTCTGAGTCCTATGCCAACTGCATGTGCAGCTCCATGAAAGGTGCCAATTTCCCCCCAAGTATGTCTGCATTATGGAGGTTGGAGTTCGGATAGATGCAGGCAGACTCAGGTTGTCTTTGAGGATTCTAGTCATTTATGAGCTCCATTTTGTCCCCTCAGGTCCAATCTTGCTCTTACCCATGTTCAGTTTTCTACCCAGCCCGCCATTCTGGCTGACCTGTGGTCGCTTCAGGCTCAATACTAGAAATTATGACAGCAATACACTTTACAAATATTCTCCATCAGCATCCACAATGGTGAAAAATCTAATGCAGCACTGTCCAATGGCACTTCTATGATGATGGAAGTGTTTGACAAAAGAGCTGTCCAACAAGATAGCCACTGATCACATGCGGCTCCTGAGCACTTGAAATGTACTCAGTGCAACTGAGAATATTAAATTTTCACTCATTTCATTTTAATTCATTTACATTTAAATAGCCCCATGTGGCTAGGGGCTACCACATGGAACAGCACAAGTTTCACAGGTTTAAATCTCTTCTTTATGACTCACAGTGGTTTTGTTTCTCTGGTTGAGTCCTGACAGCAACTGGTGATCATGTGGGGAAGAACATGTAGACAGAAAGCCAGCTGGGAGGAATGCTGAGACAAGAGGACAGAAAGAGCCTGGTTCCTGGAAGGCCCACCAGCCTGTGACCCCTGAACTTCTCATGTTAGAAAAATAGACCTCCTGTGAGGTTGCCATGTTGGGAACTCCACCCCCATTCCTATCGCCAGAATTACCAAGGTGAGCCAAATATTCGTGGAGAGCAAGAAGCAGGCTGCAAGAGGGTGGGCTTTTCAGCAGGCAATCTTTCCTTTACTCCAACATGATGAATTTTTCCCCCTTGCCTGTTCCCTGTGCAGAACCTTCCTCCTCTCGTCCACAAATGAATGGCATTCCTTATTAATATAATAATCACGGTGTTGCCTATTGAACTAGATTTTTTTAAAACATCAGCCCATTTCTATGACTACAATTGTGGCAATAGGTGGTAGGCAACTATTTTTATAGGCTTTGAAACCGGCTGTTTACCAATAAACTGTACCAGTAATGGCTCTTTCTGGATGGGGTCATGATTGACTTTACATGAAAATTTTAATGGCTAAACAATATTCTCCCCCTCTAAGGCTGAACTTGAGTAAAGAACAGTGTGCAGGGCTGTATCAACCTGTGCCCACAAACCCCTTTTTCCCGTTTTTCAACAAAAAAAGGGGTTGCTCAAACAGGTGGTTTTCCCTTGTGGTGATGACATAGGTAAAGGTGAAATGCTGGAAACGGAATCAAAGTAACAGTCCAACAGAGAGCTCAGCAGTGTGCATGGTTTGGGTCCTTGGATGGAGAGGTTTGCTTTTCACTTCCTCCAGTTTGGATCCCGCCCTGTTTCTGTATCTTCTTGAGAATGTTCAAAAAAAAAAAAAAAAAGAGCACATTGATCTTACTGCAAGTCGTCTTTGGTGTCTATTGTTTCCTTCTTTGTAGCAGGTCACGGGACTGGGTCCTCCCAACTTCTCTATTGTTTGCTGAGTCACTTGGCTTCTAAGTTGTTGCCCAGCCTGCTGTGGAAACCGCGCAGACCTCCTCGAGTGGCCCTGCACTCCCCGCCGGCCATCAGCTAGGTCTAAACCCCGCCTAGCCCAGGAGTATCCCGCCCCGTCGGATCCGAGGAGTTTCTAGCAGTCGACTTGAAGGAGCAGAGCAAGGGACACCTCCGAAGAGTCTGCAGTCTCTCCGACGCTGGCAGCCTGCACTTACTTGCCCAGCACTGCGCACCCCCGGCGGCGTCCGCGCCTGAGCGACATGGAGAGCCCCCTCGGGGTGTGACTCGCCCCACCTCCCTGGCAGCTCTCAGGGCACAGCGCTTGACACCTCGCTTGCGCCCGCCTCCGGAGGTGGGTGCCACCTCGCACGGGCTCCTGGCTGTAGTGAACGCAGGTCCACCGACAGCCTCCAGGACCTCCCGGATGCTGCAATCCGCCTGCCTCTCCGAGAGAGAACAGCAGAAGACCCGGGGCCGAGTCAGCCCTCACCGAGCGCGCTGGGAGCCGGAAGGGGACTCTGCATTGGGATCCCTCTCCTTTTGTGTGTGGGTCTCACTGCGCTCCTGCTCTTAGACCCTAGTCCTCCCAGGTACAGGTCGGGAAAGGGGGGTGCATCTCTCCTCCCGACGACTCGCCATGAGCAGTAACTCCACTGACAAGTGCGCTGATCAACTTGTGCTCGGGTCAGACGCAAGCCCAGCCATCAGCTCGGTGATGTTCTCAGCTGGGGTGCTGGGGAACCTCATCGCGCTCGCGCTGCTGGCGCGCCGCTGGCGGGGAGACTCCCGGCACGGCGCAGGACGCTGGAACCCCATCTCCTTGTTCCTCGTGCTGGTGACAGAGCTGGTGTTCACCGATCTGCTTGGGACCTGCTTCATCAGCCCAGTGGTGCTGGTTTCATACGCGCGGAATCAGACCCTAAAGGCACTGGGTGCGTGCCACTATTTCGCCTTCACCATGACCTTCTTCAGCCTGGCCACGATGCTCATGCTTTTTGCCATGGCCTTGGAACGCTACTTATCCATCGGGCACCCCTACTTTTACCAGCGCCACATCACACGCCGCGCGGGCCTGACGGTGCTGCCCGCCATCTATGCGGTTTCCCTGCTCTTCTGCTCCCTGCCTCTGCTGGGCTATGGAGAGTACGTCCAGTACTGCCCCGGGACGTGGTGCTTCATCAAGTCAGAGCACACGGGGTACCTGAAGCTTTACGCCTCCCTGCTGCTGATCCTCATCACGGCGGTACTTGTCTGCAACCTCAGTGTCATTTTCAACCTCATCCGCATGCACCGACGCAGCAGGAGGACCCGCTGCGGACCCTCAGTGGGCAGTGGTCACAGTGGCTTTGGGAGCCGCAGAAGAGGGGAGAGGGTGTCCATGACAGAGGAGACAGACCACCTCATTCTCCTGGCTGTTATGTCCATCACCTTCGCAGTCTGCTCCTTGCCTTTCACAGTAAGTCACTCACTTATTTTCCATAGGCCCCCTCTGTACTAGCTCCCCATACTCTCTCCTCTGACCGCCCCCTATCCAGGGGCACAAACTTTGGCAACTTGTAAAAATATATCTAAATTTGTAAAGGCATCGCTCTGCTAGTGTTTCTTATACAGTAATACAGTCCCTCAGAAAGGGAGTCTAGCCCACCACTAAGCTAGCCCAACCTATGGGTCCTAGACTCCCTGCAGACCCACTAACTGGGGTTGGTACCTGAGGATGAGGCAGCCCCTTCCACCTTTGGATGGTTGTCATTATTACTACCTGACTTTCCCAGAGCTGCATTTTGCCTTTGGTAGACACAGACAGACACAGACAGACAGACAGACAGACAGACAGACACACACACACACACACACACACAACTGGGGCTAGGTCTCCATGCTTTGCCTTTTATTTCTCCTAGGGCAAAATGTTGTACCCAGCCCATGGCATTCCAACTGCCACTGAGAACAGTCCCAGGTGAGAGAGGTCCTCTTGCAGAAATTCAGAGCATTCATTATTTGTCCTACAAGTTCAGTGAGCATCTAGTTTATAAATTTCCCAATGCATATTAGGGAGTGTAATTCTTTTTGGTCATGATAATTCATGATAATAATTGGGGGGAGGTGATTACTTGGAAGAACTCCTTGGTAATAAGCCTTTGAGATCCATCTACAGGAGGCATTTGTACCCTCTTATACAGAGTCCTCCTGGTGTTACTGTCCAAAATGTATACAGGTGCACTTCAGCTTACAGTTGTGTACTCTATGGGCACAGAACCTCATGCAGGAATGGCTGGTCCATTTCAGGGATGTTGAGGATTTGCTATGACCCAGCAGGACAGAGGCTGCCTGGGGGACTGAAGGACAGGCCCCAGGTTCTGTGATGGGTGCCATCCTGGCTTGGGGCAACCTCAGCAATTAGGTCCATAGTGCTTTGAGTTCAAGCCTCCTAGTGTGCAACATGAATAGTAGAGCCTGGGATGTATCTGAGCTGGCCTATTAGAGAGAGCTGGGAACTAGGAGGTTTGGCCACTTCCTTATCTTCACAGGAACAGAGTAAACAGATAGCCACACCCACCTGCCACAGTCTTGAAGAAGAGGAGATAGTGCCTGCCATTAGCAGGTCAATCTGTAGAGTGGGAGGGTCACTTTATACTACTTCCCACCTCTATCACTGCTGATTATCTTCATACATTCATCCCCAGGGCCTGGAAAGGACACAGGATCCTAAAAGCCCAAATTGGAAAGGGCTACCACCACCTCTCACCTAATTAACTACCTTACTACCCTCTTAGTTATGTTCTCTTCACCACTCTGTCCTCACACTTCTACCCCATTCAAATCACTAGTACAGAAAGTGATTTGAATCAGTAAGTTACATTTTTCTAGAAAGGAGGTAAAATGTGTAAAAGGTGCCCTCTTGTAAGATGAAGTAGAGCTGTGGGCAGCTTCATCTCCTACTTCACCCTGGGCAGGGAATTTGTTCAATATTAATGTTATAAGGTAGAAACCCAAATGACTCCTACATGTTGTTTTGTTTAACTGGTAGGCTCTTTCAATTACATTAGGCACAAAATCATCTTTAGGGGGGTGACTACTGGAATGCCGAACATGTATCTATGAGAGAAAGTATTTCAAATCCCAAAAAACAACTTAGAATTCAACCATTTCTGAATTGGGGAATGCTTTTCTTGGACTGTTGGGAAATAGCCTGTCAGCTCTTGAAGTTTTATCTATCATTTGTGAAAGTTTTACCTATTATTTGTTAACTGTTGATGTCCCCCACTTATCTACTTAAATAGCCTATAAATGGGCTCAGAAGTGAGCACACACTTGTAAAAAATGATTGTTACACTTTTTCTTAAGGCTCTTAGAGGAGGAGAGCTGGAGAAAAAGGTCTCCCTTTTGGTCTTGATTGACCCACTGCATAAATTGTTTTTAAAATGAAAGGCAATGATTTTCAACAGTTTTTAAGTAAATCTGTCTTTTAACATGAGAATGCCAATGTTGTCTTATGTTAAGTTTCATTCATATACATTCATATATGCATTCATATATGTCTATATATAGGTATATAGATATAGATATCTCCTTCATTTAACATTAACCCTAAAGATGCTCCAGAGTCACCAAATGGAAGAGCTAACAGCCAGAAGTCTATAAGTCTGGTTAGAAAGCGTGGTGGGGCAGGACATTTGCTTTGAAGCAATTTTATTTAGCTTGCCTGTTAATGCCTTAGGGAGGGTCAGGTGAAGATTATAGCTTCCCAAACTACTCCTTGGCATTGATTCTATTAGTAGATATTAATCTCAGTTTACTTCTGCATGTATGTGTGGCAAAGACTCCCAAAGAGCAGGAGAAAAACGTAGTGTGAACAAAATCCAAAAGCAGCCGTACTTACTTCTTGCCTCAGACTTAATGTCACATTGTTCACATGAACTATGGAGAATGTGTACCTTAAAGATATTTGAATCAGACCTTAAAAGGGAAGTATCAAGCCATCTCTCAATAAGGAAATTTACATTAAATTTACATTACCATTAGCTAATTTTATTTTGTCTTAGTATCTTTTATTTACATTGCACTTTAAACCTTATGAAATATTATACTTCCCAATTAAGTTATTTGTTGGAGGGCTTATCTGACAATGCTAAACTCACGGTTCATACATTCTATTTTAAATGCTTGGCATGTTATTAGGGCAGGGGATTCTCTTTCTCCCCACATTTACTTTGTCCATGCTAAAATTGTGCTCTGAAATGGCCTACGCCAATCTTCCACCCAAGGCAAGAATCATTTCCACACATGCTAAGTGGGGACACTCTTAGACAAGGTAAAGGTTTATGGTTACCTTCAGAAGTGCTCCTGTTTTTCTAACAGAACATATGTAATCCAGTAGAAATACAGCGTGAGACACATATGCAAGGCACACATGCAATTTTAAATTCTCTAGTAGCCACATGGCTAAAAATAGTTGAAATTAATTTTAATCATCATATTTTATTTAACCCAACACATCCAAAATATTATCAATTATCCCAAGCTGTGAGCAGGTTAGAATTACTGCTTTTTTTTTAAGAATGCCAGTCTAGGTTGTTCAAAGTTTGAAAAGTAAAGTGAAACTACTAAAATGTAAAATGTCCAGCACCTTGTAATGAAGTCAAATTCAACCTTAAACTCCTTTATTATCAACGTCAAAATGGCTAACATTTTTGAGTGCTATCTGTCACATATATTAACTCATTATCTTCATAACAACCTATAAAATAAATATTATTATTCCCATTTTACAGATAAGGCAAATAACTTAACCTGGGTTCCACAACTAGTGAGGGTTAGAGCCAGGATTGAAAGCAAACAGTTTATAATTAAGCACAGAGAACCATGTTTTGACCACATACACCTGGGAGAAAGTATTCATTTCAGGGTGACAGATTGACCCAAGATTTCATCAGAGAATTGTGAAAATGTTATAAATATCTGGACCACCTTGCCTCTTAATTCCAATTTGTTAACTTTAAACATTAAATAGCAAAGACCTCCTTCTTCATGTCAGATCAAGGGGCCTGAGCCAGAGCTAAATGTGCATTTCCTTTTTTCTTCTTTACAGACCCATGATTTAAAAGACCGAGACAGAGATTTAAGGAGATTCACTAATATAAATGCTGGTCTACATTAAGAAATAATCAGATTACCCCTCATGTCAAATCTTCCATTGGGACACAAAAAACATTTCTTAAGAATGAAAATAAGCATGTTGTGTTTTTAGAAATGACATTATTTTGGTTATCCAATATGAAATCATGCACAGGACCAACAACATATCCCAAACTGTTTATGTACTAACAGGATATTGTATAAATTAATAAATTCCTCCTTATGATAATCAGCTGTTGTCATCATTTCACAGAGATAAATAGAAACTTACTTTCTTCCTGAAATGGAACAGAACACAGGAAATATATTAGATCTCCATTCTTGTCTCAGATACTGTTTGTGTTTAATGTCCAACCCACACCAAGCCACTTTCTCACTACTTTACTAATAATAGTGGATTATTCTGGTCATTTTAAACTGTTTTCCACATGCTATCAGGATAAAGTACTTATGCATTTTATTTAGTTCTAAAATTTCAAGAGTGAACCACTGACTCATTCCTTAGGGCTATAATTTCTAGGTAAATCTGATTAGTGGAAATAGGATCTTTGCAATACAGAAAAAATTCAAGTAAACAATTTTGGGGTTTCCTATTCATTCCTGATACTCTATGTAAAACATAATATAAATGGGAATTATAAAACTATATGAAACGGGGCCACCCTAGTGGCACAGGTGGTTGAGCACAATGCTGTGAAGCTGTCCACAGCCTCTGCAGTGCGGGTTCAATCCTGGCCGACTGGGGAGATACCCACATGGTGCAGCAGACCTCTCCTATCTCACCCATTGCTCCCCTCAGCAGTGTATTTCAGTCAGTCTACCTGTTCTGTTTCCCACTCTGTCTCTGGTGAATCCTCTCACCCCCACACACATCTGGCCTGTACCCTGGTTCTTGTATAAATAAATAAATCTTTAAAAAAAACTATATGAAACTAGCTAAATAGATATATATGGTTTATCACAATTCTACTGGGGATGAAATAGAAGTCCAGAAAATCTGTGCATGACCACAGTGAACTTTGCCTGGTGGTATTTTAAGTTAATATCCTTGAACTACTTGAAGGCCCTTTATCATCCATGTATCATCAAAGATGTGTTTAGATTGCTGAAATAACTTGAATATGCATTACCTTTTAAGAGAAAGTTCCTCTGAATGAGTGTTTTCGCTTGACACCTTTTGCCATTTGATATTTTGAAATGGTTATTGGATAAAGATTGTGGATGCATAATTACACTGAGTTTTAAAAATTTAGACAGAAAAACCACAGTCTTTTTTCCCCAAAGAGAAGATGTGCATATATGACTACACCCTTGGTCAAGTTGATCATCACTGCCCTTTCAGATGAATAAGTCCAGGGCCTCCTACCTTAAGGAAAAACTGCTCAGGGGTATACTTCTTTTCTATTTCTTCTTCTTTCTTTTTTTTTTTGGCAAGTCAGAAACTCATCATAATAATAAGTTAGAGAAGAAATAACCATGGAGACTATTGATCTCTGCATTTCAGGAAGGCATTCAATAAATCTGTTTCCAGCTAAAGGCTTAAGATCCTGTTGATGGGCAACTTGGTCTTTTGGTTTCCATCATGTCTCTAGTTTTCTACTTTCAAGTTCTGAGCACCACTCCCCATTCTTATCTTGGGCTCTGACCCATTGTGCCTCAGTGTGTATCACCAAGTCATATCAAGCTTCTTTTTTCTGGGAATAATTTACTACCCAAAATTGTCTCCCTCTAACGGAAAACTAGACTGAGGACTTCTGCAGTTGGGACATATGTGTGATCAGAAAAGCCAAGGAGAGGAAAAGTACACTTGGAAAAAGTTGAAACTTCCTCTAGAACTAGGCTTTTTTTTTTTTTTTTTTTTTAAGATTTATTTATTTATTTATTTATGCAAGCACTGGGTACAGTCAGAAGCATAGGAGGGTAAGAGGATTCACCAGAGCCAGAGCGGGGAACAGAACAAGCAGAACAACGAAATACACTGCTGAGGGAAGCAGCGGGTGCAGCAGGAGAGTGTGCACCATGTGGGACCCTTGGGGATCTAACCAGTGCTGCAGAGGCTGCAGGCAGCTTCGCAGTCCAGCGCTCAACTGCTGAACCACCAGGGGAGGCCCTAGAACAAGGCTTTTAGCCTGCACTCCAAGGGTGGAACTTCAAAATCATTTCTAAAATCTGTGTTAATTTACAAAATTTGGGGAAGGTAGTTCCTATTGTGCATCATTTTCTCAAAAGGTTAAGAACCTCTGAGCTAGAGCCACTCCATGCTCTAGTCTTTCCTTGTGAAGGAAAACAGTCTCCTATTCCCTCTACTACCAAGTCCCTGAGATTTCATTAACACATCATATATGCAGTGGGCCTCCCCTGGTGGCGCAGCGGTTGAGCGCTGGGCTGCGAGGCTGCCCGCAGCCTCTGCAGTGCCGGTTCTTTCCCCGGCCGCTGACGAGGGTCCCACAAAATACATACATACATACATACATACATACATACATACATAAAACATCATATATGTAGAAATTAACCATCCCTACTAAAAGTCTTTTTTTTTTTAAAGAATGGATATACAAAGCCTATAGCTTTATCTTTCACAAGGCAGATAAACATATGACAAGTCTGTGATTTAGCTGTGGAAAGTGTGTGCAGTCAGAGAGTAATGAATTTCATGTGAGACTTTATGTTATAGGATTTTTATATAAATGACAGTAGAGTATAGACAGGCTGAAAGGCACATTTGGGCTCCACTGCTTGAATGTGATTCCATGACATCCCCACACACCTGAGGAGTGACTTGGGGCATGGTAAACTATTATCTTGTAAGCTTTTGGTTTCTCCTTACTAATAATAATACTTTGCAGTTTTATTTGAAAATTAAACAGAATAATACTTGTAAATTGCTTAACAACATACCTAGCACACATAAGTATTCTGTAATTATTAGATACTATTGTCATAGGATACAATTTCCAAAGGAAAAATCAAATTGTATATTAATGGCCAGAAACTAACTGAATTCGGGAAGCTCAGTCATTTGTTTAATTGGCCAGTCTAAGTGGGTATTTCATTTTTAATAATGATAAATAATTTTAAACTATTTCAGGTGTTGGGTAAGTTTCTAAAGCAGTGGTTCTCACCTTGGCCACACATTAGAATCCCCTGAGAGGCTTTTTAAAACCTGATACCTAAGTTATAGTCCAGATTCAATTAATCAGTCTCCAAGGGAGGGAGCAAGTCATCAGAGGTTTTTTAATGCTCCTTGAGTAATTTCATCAAGAAACCAGATAGAACTCTCATTCTGAACTTATTACATTAGTTGCATTAAAGTTTACCATGACAGTGCCAAGATGAAGTTTTCCATGGGAGGCTGCTAGGATTCTGTAGAAAACAGATATAAAAGAACACTATTATTTCTCCTAAATTATGATTTCTCCAATGGGAGAAAATCATCATGTTACCTCAATAAAGAAGAAAAAAATACAGAACACTAATTTTCATCTTGCCACCTTTGAAGTATCATAACACAGCTTTATGTATTCTTAAAATAACACTGTAAAGAGAACTTGCCCTAAAGAATGAAAACTTACTTGACTCAGTTAGATTAGCACTTGCTCAAACCCAGTATCCACAAGATTTAAAATGGTTAACTTAAAGCAAAAATATAAGCACCAAAAGCAAATAAATGGGAAGGTAGGAGAAGATGAAACACAGCCGAAGAACTTCAAGGGTTGCTGAAATATGTTTCTTTTCCAAGTATAAAGAAGAAATTGCCTTCTACAGAATGTTGGTCACCTCCTAAAATGCGTTTCTAAAAAAAAAAAACAACCCAGTATAGTGGATGAAGAGGAAACAAGTAGTGCAGAATTGCATCATGCCCTAAAGTCATTTTTCACTTCTCATTGTTCACATGGGAAAGAGATCAGGAACTATGGCTTGGGTCATTCTCCACTGAAAATCTGATTCATCATTATGTGTGAAGCTGCTGCCTCTCTACGTGCCTATCCTGGCTAGCCAATTTGGTATTATCATGTTCCTTGGTGAACTAGATCACGAACTCATCTACAGACTTTTTACAACAGAAAGCTCAGTTGTGTTGGGGTGAGGGGTGACTAGTATATTTTAATCTATCCTTAGGTACACTATTATCCTGATATTCTAAACGCTGAAACCTCTACTTGAACATACCATAAAGGTACTGTGTATGTCTCACCCAAAAATAGTTACACTAAACAGTAAATTCCTGCTCCATTTCATTTCCCCACCCAACTTTCTCTTTCTCTCTATAATTGGGGGAATCCACCATCTATTCTTCTTTTTGCTTATTCATCTGCCAAGTCATTTTCTCCATTCCCTATGCCAAGATTCTCGTTCATGAACAGCCATGACTGCCAACCCTTCCTGCTGTTTTCTTAATATAAGCAACTCAAGGTGACTGCTATTCTCCCTCCCTGCAATTTGCTTTTGTATAATCCAGTTGTATGCCAGTGGGGAGAGTACCAGAGGAAAATGTGATCAACTATTCCTTCATCAGGGGAAGGAGAGAGGAGGGAAGAGGGACTAGTTCCCTAACTCATGGGCTACCATGGTAAGAAAGTCTCTGGAGCAACCTAAAGAACTGATTTTTAAATGACTATGTATGCATTTGTTTTCCTCTTTTCTGTAAGCTATGTAGTGTTTGATCTTTATCAAGCATGGACTGTTCCATTTCTTTCAATCTGACCCAAAAGTTGTGTTGTTCACTAAATCTCTAAACAGCAAGATTAGAGTTGGTAGACTAGCTTGAAAACACTTTCCAACTTGTAAAAATGTGTCAGCTTTCCATTGTTTAGGACAATGTTCCGAAGACCTTTGCTCTAATATAGATGACCTGGACATAGCACACAGCCAGCACAGCACTGGTGTCAAGAGAGCAGGAATTGTCCTCAGTTGGCCACCACTCAGCCCTGGGGACTTGGGCAAGTCAGTCAACTGCATCTCATGTCTGCACTGATAAAATGGAGGTAACAACTAACATTGTGAAGTGCTTATTAAGTTTGAAGTAGCTTACATGCTATTTCCTATCATCTTACTACTTCCTATCATCTTCCCAACAACCCAATGACAAAGATATTATTATTATCGCCCATTTTGAAAATCTAGAAACTGTGGCACGAAGAGGCTACTGTATTTCTGTGGTCCCAAAGCTTTGTACAGAGCCAGGATTCGAACCAGTCACTCCATGGCAAGAATTCACCTTCTCATTAGTGATATTCTGCTGCATGCTCTCCATCCTGAACCGTGACGACTAAACCAGATTAAGAATTTGGAAGTAAATGTAACATGTTATGAACTTTCCCCAAGTTCCTCTTCTCATGGAGACAAAGCTTAATGTTTCAGAGTTTTTATAAGGACTAGGAATAGAAGTGGGTTTAATCCAGTGCAAGTCATGATACATGTGTATTAGGTTATTGATAAATGGGAACTACAAATAGTAACATTTTTGTTATTAATATTTTTTAAGTAATTCTGTTCTAGGTGCCAAGAAAGCTTATTCATTTCTGTCCAATCCCAATGGCAGGACCAGTCTCTTGCTCCTGGCATCAACTGTAATCCCAAGAAAACACGAAACATATTTCACTTTCAAATCTCAAGAAATAGCCTATAATAAAACTTGTCACAATGTAAAACTAACATCATTTTCCTATTTTGTTTCTTACAGATATTTGCATATATGGATCAACAGCAGGAAGAGTTGGCAGGTCATGCCACCAAGTGGGACCTTCCAGCTCTTAGATTTTTATCAATTAACTCAATAATTGACCCTTGGGTCTTTGCCATCCTCAGGCCTTCTGTGCTAAGACTGATCCGTTCTGTCCTCTGTTGTCGGATTTCATTAAGAACACAAGATGCAACCCGAGCTTCCTCTTCTACACAGTCAAATGCCAAAACACAACTGACCTCTGTGGACAGTAGTTAAGAAGCGCTTAGTAAGCAAGCATCTGGAAAAGCTTTCTGAAATGGTTCCTTGAAGAAATGGAAAAAGTTAATTTATAAACAAAATGAAGCTACTCTAATAAAACAGAGTCAACAAATGTTCACACAGTGGATTGGGCTGCAGACTGATATTGCATTCTTGGAAGGTATCAGAAAGATCTATAAAACCTACCTATAAAACCTATCTATAAAACCTCAATGAGTGAGGTACATGGCCTTTAGAGGAACAACCAACTAACTGCACTTAAGATGGGGTTGTCTTTTGATTTAAGCTTTCCTGTTGAATGAGAAAGCGTGATTTATTATTTGTTTAAAGCTCTAAATAGTTACTATGTTTCTATTTTGATCTTCCATGATACTACCGCTATAAACACACAGTGTACAGTCAGATCAGATAAAACTTCGTATGTTTTCTCTAGGAAGTCCACATGTGGCTCTGACAAGCCTGGTGTCTTGTGATTTCTTAATAAACCTTATTTGGACAATGAGGTTGAAAATCTTAGGCACGTTGTATTGTGATGTTTATGTATGTGGGAGTATTCTCTCGTCACCATATTGTTACTCTTAGAAGAGTGAGCTCAGTCTGTTGACGTCAGTCAGCTAGTCCCCAGAAGCTATGCATCAAAGCGGGAGGTCACTTATTTTATAATCTCCATTGGGCTAGTGGTAATCAAGAAGACTTTAGGAATTTTCCTCTCAACAAGATATAAAGAAAGGTTATTAAGAGAGCTAATTCTGACTAAGTATTCTTTACTCTGTTTCCAAGGGAAGATATGTGATTATATCCAAAGCCAAAAATTAGGATTAAAATCTGAAAAACCTGGGCAATTCCTCAGATACACTGGAACTCTTATATGCTGATGTTGTGATCATGACTAACATACTTTGTAAGATAACTGTGTTGTAACAAAATTCCTCTGTCTATATTTTATCTAGGAAATATGGTTTGACTCATATAAGAAGTCATGTAATGTGAGTCATATCTTAATATATTTCTAGACTTAAATATTTGGCATGTTCTAAACAAAGTATCAAAATATTTCAGTAAATTTACATTGTTTAATCATAGCTTAGTCAATTGTGATTCAACTGAAATGCTATAAACTATAAAACAAAATTTTGAAAATGGAATAGAATTTGATGAATTCCCCCAATAATATTTTATAATGTGTGTAGATGTATCTTTTAAGTGAGATAAAAGTAGACATGTTCTTTTTTATTTGGCAGGTTTTTAAAACACGAATACCTTGTAAATCGGAGTTTAAAATATTCAATACAGTATTTGGTGTTAGAGAATTTTTTTTCTTTAAGCTTTTATCCTCATAGCATGATCTTTACAACAGTAGAACTACTTTCTTTTGCAGTATTATTACAGAACAACTCTGTTTTTAAGAAAGGGGGGCGGCTGTTTTTAAGCTTCATTAAGTTGCTTATGCAAAACCACTTCCTACAAGTAGTTATCAAACTAGATGATGATTTTGAGTAATTCCAAACCAATGGAAGCATCGAGGTATTTCAATACAATCTATGTAAAATCAGCCCTTATCTTAAAAGGAATAAATAAATGGTTTTCTTTTATATTATTTTTTTTTAAAAAAGAATAGGTAAAATTTACCCTACTAAACTCTGGACTTATAAATAAATATTCTTTATCACCAAGTATTCCAAAGTTAATACAGTGTTCTAAATGGGACTAAATAGGCCACTGGATAATTCCCATACATAAAATTCTGAAGTTATTTTGAATCTGGAAGACTGATTTCTTTTATTAAATGACCTTTTTTCCCCTTCAAATGAAAATGTTAACTTCAATCCTTTATCTTACCTCACTCAGCCCCAAAATTCTGGAATGATGTCTCAGAACTTAAAAATAATTAGGCAAAATATCACTAGTAGGTAAAACATGATTCACTCTGAGGGTCTAAATTTAAATGAAGGGGACTCCCTGGTGGCACAAGGGGTTAAGACACAACCTATGAAGCTGTCCCACCCTCTGCAGCAAGGGTTTGATTTCTGGCCAGCCAGGAAGCAACCCACCTGGCTTACCCACTGCTCTCCTCGGCAGTGTACTTCAGTCAAATCTGTCTCTGTTGAATCCTCTTTCCGCCCCTCCCCCCACGCCTCTAGCCTGTACCCCAGCTCTTGTATACATAAATAAATAAATCTTTTTAAAAAAGCAAATTTAATACCGGATGGTCTCACTCATAGCAGGAATCTAGAAAACTTAAATAAGGGACCAGGAAAAAGAATAACTATAAGAAAGAAAATATCAAAATCAACAAACAACTATGAACAAGAGACACTCTATGGGGGGTGGGGGGGTGGGGAGGGGAGGGATTGGGGTCAGAATAAGGGGATTGCAATTGTATGGGGAATATAAAAATAAAATTTATTAAAAAAATAAAATAAAGTCAAGGATAATAACAAAAAAAAGCAAATTTAAATGAGGGAATTTAATCCATTTCTTTAAGAACTGGTAGTAACTTTTTTAGAGCTTTGATTCTTGTACTGTATTGAGTGAATAAATCCTATTTTATTTATATATAGAGAAAATATTACATAGATTTATATGTATTCTCTTTCTAAAAATCCCATCACATTCAGTGTACCTTTTAAGTTTACTGACTCATTTTCAAATTAAGTAAAAACACCAAATTTAGCCTGGTATATTGGAGAACTGAATTGTAATGAAAGAAAACCCTAATTTTATTTTTTGCCTCTGATAGTTGATGGAATGTAAATAGAGAAACTATAGTAGATATTCAGCTCAGAATGCCAGCCCTAACTTTAGGTGTCAAGAAATGGCTGGGCCAAAGCAGTCTGCTCTGAGCTGAACTGTTTCCTGGATGGTTCTCTGTGGCCCTCAGTCATCATTCCGAAGAGAGAACTTGGGATTTCTGGTATACTAAGGGGCCTTGAATCTCCAAAGATCTGCTGGGACCCTGAATTTGCTCCCAAAGATCTGAATCTCAAAATGGCGCTAGACACAATGTCAACACCAAGTTTCCATGCTGAGGCTGCAGCCCTGAGCAGCAGGGGGGACTGATTCAATCTGCATCACTCCTTTCTCAATGTAATTTAGTTAAATTTTTGGTGCCCCTGCTAGTTTATGTCTTTGCACCCTGGACTAATTAAATAATTCTAATGAAACATCAGCTCTGACTTGAGCCAATCAAAAAACAGCACATTTAGGTTACGCGCTTGATAACTTTGAAAAGCAGGGGAAAACAATTAGCTTACCCTTAAGCAAAAGTTTATTTCACATAGCCAAAGATAATAGTTTTCTGAATTTGGGAAGAGCCCCTGCTTGAGCCATTCACTGATAGAGAATCAATTCTCTCTACAAATGAATGATTTATTTATGTGGACTTACAATGCCTACTCTTGCAGTTGGAGTTGCAAACTTGAATATTTTTTATGGCTATTTTCTGCCTTCATCAAACACTTTTAACTTCAATGAATTTCCTCTGTGCACTTATAACATACCTCCCATCACTTAAAAGCATTATTTTTTGCTTTTTTTAATTTACAAAGCATTTTGATTATCTGACATGTATACTATTGAAATAAATACTATTTTAGCATTCACAGAAGCTATTGTCTAATTTATACATGGGACCAAGGTTACATTTTAGACATATTTTATTTCAGAAAGTTACTCTTTTTTCTGGTAGCTTTTGTGATTCTTTTTTTATTGTAAGTAAATTTTCTTGAAATATATTTTTTTATTTCCTATAAAACATATGTACTATTAAAGATCAGTTTGAGCATTTTAATGCTGTGATCCCTGTGTTTCATTCTTAAAAATCTGTCAAGAGCAAATATGTCTATAAGGATTCCAGGGGAAAGAGATGGCACTCAAAAGGCTTGACCAATGAAGGAATACTTAAAGAGGGGTGGCCAGGGTGAAGTAAATCCACAAGGAACGGTAAAGAATCCCTTGGTAACTGTTGCCACTACTAGACCTGAAGGGATAAAGGAGGAGCAGTTATCCGAAACCAGCAAGAGCTGTAGGAGATGCCACCCTACAGTTTTAGCGGGGAGCTATAGTGGGGAGCACAGCTATAGCCACACCAGAGGGGCATGATGGGGACACCACATTCCTGGAGTATCTTGCCTATTCTTTACTTTTCTGCTTGTTCTTCCAGTGGCCATACCAACTGTAATTCATTATCTAGATGATGCAGTCCAAGAAGCACAAAGCACAGGTGGAGAGTAGATTTAGAGGGGCAAATGGAGGCTATCCAGCACAATTAGATTAAATGTGTGTGTATTCTGCTTTGTAACCATACAATGACAAAAACTGAAACTATAAAGTGGGTAGTCTTTCTTTCCATTTCCTATTCAAATAGATATCCTCTAGTAAACTTGGGGAATAGGAATCAGCTCCATCTGTACAGAAAGAGGCAAATCACTGTAGGTTCCCTTAGCATAATATTTGTCCTACCCTCTGCTCCCCTGAGGCTCAGCATTTACATTTCTCCATTTCTTTTTTTTTTTTTGCATGTGACAGACATTTATTTTTCAGCTCCCATATCTGAAGGCTTCATCAACTTTTTTTTTTTTAAATACCATCTTACACCAGTGATGGTGTAAGAATGGCACATATTAAAAAAACTAGCAACAACAAATGTTGGCGAGGTTGTGGAGAAAAAGAAACTCTTCTGCACTGTTGGTGGGAGTGCAAATTGGTCCAACCACTATGGAGAGCTGTGTGGAGATTTCTGGGCCTACTAAACATAGAGCTTCCATATGATCCAGCAATTCCACTCCTAGGTATTTACATTTCTCCATTTCTAAAGGTAATTTATATGATTGGGAGAGAAAAAGGAGATTAAATCAAAGCATCTTTCTTTACCTGCCTATAGCAAGATAGCATAGTAGCTATTCCTAAGCCAAACAAAGAGAGAGTCATGTGCGTGGGTCTTGGAATGAACAAAAGCATTTTTTTAAAAAGATTTATTTATTTATTTATTTATTTATTTATTTATTTATTTATTTATTTATACAAGCACTGGGTACAGTCAGAAGTGCGGGAGGGCCAGAGCCAGAGCGGGGAACAGAACAGACAGACTGACAAAATACATTGCTGAGGGGAGCAGTGGGCAAGACAGGAGAGGTCTGAGCGCCATGTGGGACCCTTGCTGGTGGCCGGGGATCAAACCGGAGCTACAGAGGCTGCAGGCAGCTTTGTAGCCCAGCGCTCAACCACTGCACCACCAGGGGAGGCCCTGAACAAAGCATTTTTAAGACAGACCGCTGGAGTGAAAAAAATCAAAAATGCTGAGTGTGGGCCATATCCCTAATCTTAACATAATTAGAATGAGTCTACACAGATATTGAAAGAGTATATGTAGGAATTTAGCAATTCTGCATAGTTTAACATGCCAATAAATAACCAGGGAAAAGAAAATTTAACAAAATTGAAAAAGACTAGACAAAGTATGGCTTTCAAGGCCATCTGTCAATGCTCCCCTTTCTGCTACAAAAGGATTTCTGTTTCCTCATCTATAAAGATAATGAAATGATCCACCTCCTCAATTATTGTTAAGATTAAATAAGTAAATCAAGTATGCCCTGAATGCACACAGGGCATTCACACTGTGCCTGGACATGGTAAATGCTAGTAAGACTGGAGTTAGAATCATTTCAAATGCCCAGTCCAGGGGACTTTCTGATCTCTTTACACATGCCTGGTTCAGATTACACATTCGGGGTGGTAGTCACGGTGTCCAGGGTCATGTTATCTACTTGTTAACTCTGGGTGACCATCAAGAATGATGATGGTGGGGCCTCTCTCTGGCATCAGCACTGTGAAGCTATGTGCAGCCACTGCAGCCATGAGTTCAATCCCCTGCCAGGGAAGTGACCCACGAGGCAGATATCTAATGGGTGAGATCTTCCCTCCACACTATGTGTCCCCATCCCCTAGGCCTCCTCTTCTCCCCCACTCCTTCACTCCAGCCACCTTGGCCCATGCACTGTGCCTGATGCTCACCAGCAATCTCCCACCTCAGGTTCATTGCCCTGGCTGTTGTCTCTACCGGAATGAATGTTCTTCCCCCAGAAAACCATGGTTCACAGCTTCACTTTCTCCCATCCTTCCAAATTTTACTCAAGTGATACCTTCTTAGTACCATCTTCACAGATCTCCTTCCTAAAACTACACAGGCATGTGCGCGCACCCACATACACACACACATACACACACAATCTCCAATCCTATTAACCTACTCAATAATTTTTTTTAAATATGAGTGACTTTAAAGCACTCCAAGATTGCTATATTTATAATTTTCATGATCTATTTCCTTGCACTAGAATGTGAGTTCCAGGAGATAAGATTGTTGTCTGTTTTATTTTGATGCCTAGTGCTATAGTGGCAGGAGTCACATATACTTGGAATTATGTCTTATAGATTTCAGAGACTTTTATTTTTAGCTTATTCAGTATATTATTTTTAGGACATTTTGAAAATGATCTAAGTATTTTGTATATATTTATATATATATATATCTCATTTAACTTTTCAAATAACACTCTATTGTCCCCATTTTACAAATGACAAGCTAGATGCTCAAAGTTAAGCAACTAGCTCAAGATGACACAGCTCTGAAGGAAAGAAATCAGATTATTTTCTGATTTAAAGCTCAGGGATCATTCTACTGATCCCACAGAACTAGAAATCTGCAAAGACCTTCAATTTCTGATCATGATCCACTGCAGTGAAAACCCTTCTCCATCTTTATCACCACCATTGTTGCAATACCTAAGCTAGTGTCTAGCATATCATAGGTGCCATAAGTGCCAATAGCTACAAGTAGGTGCTATAATTACTTGCTGAATGAATGACAGAATTTAGAAGTCAGAGCCAGAATGAGAACAAGCAGTTCTGGGGGTGGCCTGGCATGAGCTGTGAGAGGCCAAGCAGAATGAGGATGGTATCCACATGGGGCAGTCAGGGGCTCGGACTGGGGAGTGGGAAGGGGTCATGGTGGGAAGATACATTATATGTTTGATTAAATAAGTAAATAAATTAAGAATAATAAAACCAGGTTTGTCATTGCAGGAGAAAGGGAAGAAGAGTAAAAAGTAGAATGAACATTATAATGTTAGATTTGAATTGGGGATATTGATATTAGCTCAAATTTTTCAATAAATTATAGAAATATATATGCAAATATGTTTGTGTATGAGTGTGTCATTGTGTTTAGTTTCGTCCCCTGAGACTGGAATTAGCAAGACCCATCCTCATCCAGTTGCAATGAGTATACCTAAAACACAGATCTTTAT